TGTCACCACCGTGGCCAAGAGCATTTGTCAGCTCACGGGTCCCAAGTTATTTTGAGCTGTATAAACCATGTGCCTGTGAAACATTCCGCCTGATTGGACAGGAGAAAACTGAGCAAAGGGATTCCATTGCGGGACAGCACCTACGGGAGTTCGGGGCAGTGGTATTTTTCTACCTACAGAATTTCATTTACAGCTGGAAGCCTGACGTATTTATTGATTGGCATTTTGAATTAATAGTAAATGAGCTATATCACAGTCCACCTGTCAAAGAAAATGGCATTACTTTAAAGCGCATCAGAATTTGTCATTTTTGCTGTTATTAATTTTAAAAAACAAGTATGTTTATTTTGGTGAGTTTGTGTGTGTGGTGCATGTGGGGTGGGGTGAACGGGCGTCACCGTGTACCTGTGGAGATGAAGGGCTGGCTTCAGGAGCTGGCTGGCTTCTTCCACCTTATGGGATGTGGGGGTCAAATGGAGATTATCAAGCTTGTCAGAAGCACCTTCGCCCTCTAAGCCATTTCATTGGTCCAGTATCTTTAATTTTAGTCAATGGAAATCTGACTTCCATTTAACTGCTAAGACACTGAGAAAACCTGTCTACGGGAAGGAAATACAAAGCGGAAATTGACAACTTGAAGCCAAGAGCTTTTTAAAACTGTCCACAGGGACCTAATTCCAAAGCACAGACAAAAAAAAAAATAGATGAAAACTCCATTGGCTTGAGAATCAATACAGGAACAACACATTTAAACGACTGTCTTCACAACCTTGAGACGGGCTGGCTCATGCCTTTAATTTCAGCACTCAGGAGGCAGAGGCAGGTGGACCTCTGTGAGTTCAAGGCCAGCCTGGTCTACAAGAGCTAGTTCCAGGATAGGCTCCAAACTACAGAGAAACCCTGTCTTGAAAAACAAATAAACAAAAACAAAACAAAAATTAGGTCAGATGTGGTGGCACATGCCTTTAGTCCCAGCACTCAGGAGACAGACGCAAGATCTCTGTGAGTTCCAGGCTAATCTGGTCTACCTAGTAAGTTCCAGACCAGTCAGGGCTACATAGTGAGATCCTATAAAAATAAACAAATTAAATTAAATTAAATTAAAATCCCACGAATTGGATAAGTTTAAAAGTTAAATGTGGGCTAGCAAGATGGCTCAGTGGGTAAAGGCTTTCGCTAGTGACCTGAATTCAATGCCTGGGACCCAGTGGTGAAAAAAAATAAACTTTTGCATGTACACACACACACACACACACACACACACACACACACACAAATAAATGTAACTTTAAAATTAAAAAAACGTTCTTTTAAAAAGGGAACTAGAAGGACGGTTCACAGTTGAGAGCCCTGACTGCTCTTACCGAAGACCTGAATTTGGTTACCAGAACCCGTGTCAGGAAGCTCACAACCACCTGTAACTCCAGCTCCAAGATGACGTTTCTGGCTTCCTCCAGCACTGCACTCACACGCATGTGTACACATGTACACACACACAGAGACACACATACATACCACACACAAATATACATACACATACCACACACACATATCACGCACGCACACACGTGTGTGGACACACATATCACACACACATCACACACACACACACAAAATTGGTCAGGTTAAAACGACTACTGAAACAGTACAATAAACTCTTATTACTAGAACCCAGAGATAACTTCTTGTATTTTATTTTCAGGAAAAAAAATCAATGCTAGTTGTCTTCTTTAATAAACATAATCAGTAAAAAAAAAAAATAAAAAAAAAATCCTTAACCTGACTACATCTAGTAAGATAGTAGTCTTGTAAAAGTGTAGATTCTTTGATGATTATTTCATGTATTTTTAGAATATGAGGTTTGAAAAACATTAGCTCCATTAGTACAGATTAAAGGTTGGTTTAACACTGCTGTCTGGTCAGAAGATTACAGTCCGAAATTCAGTCTTGAATGCCAAGAACTTTTTTTCCTTCCTTCCCCCCCCTTTTTTTTTTCTTTTTTCCTATGTGTAGCCCTGGCTGTCCTGGAACTCACTCTGCAGACCAGGCTGGCCTTAAACTCAGAGATCCGCCTACTTCTGCCTCCTGAGCGCTGGGATTAAAGGCGGGGATTATTTTCCCAAGGATCATTTTTACATTCTTGAGGCATAAAATATGAAATAGATTGGTTTAAAATTTAGTTTTATTACTAAATCACATAACTGTTTGTAAGTTTCTTTACATCTATTCATTCAATAAACATTTACCTAATTCGATCTTGTACAAGGCAGTATGTATAAAGAAGTGTGCAAAGTGCATGCATCTTCCTGCCCTCATAGAACTCACTAAGAGATCTTTATCCTCTTCAGCCATCTTGAGACTTCCTATAGCGCATTGGAGAAATATGAAATCTGTTTATTGGGTCACATCGGAGGGGTCACTGTACCTTTGGTTACCAGGTCTTATGGGGGGAGAAAAAAATTATTATTAAGGAAAGACAGGAACACAGGAAGAGCTGAGTTATCTGGTTAGATTGCTTTTAGAAATTTCCAACTGAAGCGCCTTCCAATTAAAGGCGCACACCTTTAATCCCAGCACTTGGGAGGCAGAGGCAGGCGGATCTCTCTCTGTCTGTGAGTCCAAGGCCAGCATAGTCTACAAGAGCTAGGTCCAGAACAAGCTCCAAAGTTACAGAGGAACCCTGTCTCGGCGGGGGGGGGGGGGGGGGGGGGGGGGAGAGAGAAGGAAAAAAAACAGGAAAAAAAAAGAAAAGACATTTCTAATTGAATTTAAAATTGGCATATAAAGTAACAGATTTCTGCATGGCATTTTAATAACTACTTGATTTGGTTGCTCTTCTCCCTCCCCGTTCCTCGCTGCTGTTTCTCAGCTGCCCCCATCTCTGCCTATGTCCTCCTATTTCCAGAGCTTCCACACTCAAAGACTGACTAGAGTTGGTAGGACAGTGAAACTGGGAATATATGCCAGATGTTAGAATTTGCTTAAAATATGAAAGAGCTACAGAAGAGGCCAAGAATTTCTGCCCTTTGACATTTTCAAAAACAAACACTGTACACATTTTTGGCTCTTTTAAAAAGCTGAGTATTAGGTATCTAGGTATTACTCAGCAACTACGAGGTGTTTTGTTTATCATATCGCAAACTCTTATTCTAGATTTTGTCTTAGTCCTTCCCTTGCTCATTAGTAACAATGAAACAAATATTGTACCACAAACCTCTTTATTAATATGGAGAAAAAATTTAAAGCTTTTAAAAACCTAACATAGTCATAGATTAACTTACTCGCAACAAGCAAATATAAGGTTACATGTCTTCAGCCTTCCCCATAACACAGGGCAGCCCTGCTACGTATGTTGTTACGTTTTGAGCCGGGTTCTCTACTTGCTTTCAGCTGTTCCTTTAACACAGCTTAATCACACTGGGATGAGCCATGGGGACTCCAAGGTATCTGGGAATTTACGACGGAGCTGTCTTCACTCGGAGGAGAGACATGAATCGCCGTGCTAGGAGATTCGCGTAACATTTTGGTTTCCTATTTTCTGTATCACCATAAACTCTGATGTCTAAAAGAAACTGTTCCCACATAGCAAAGTTGTAAGCACTTTGGCTTAAAGTTGCTGTTTTATATTGAGGTTCCCCCTCTGGTATCATATTTAAAGACCAACAATATAAATTCATCTTCCAGGTTTTTGTAATGAAAATCACTTTCACCCCAGAGACAAGTTCTTAACCATTTCAAATAAAATGAAGAGATAGAGCATAAACTATTGTACAACCCTCTTATACAACTGAGAAATACAATGAAATTCTTAAGAAGTTTCTTTTTCACCCTAAGAGCATTAACCTCCGAAAACTGAAAAAAAAAAATCAAAAAACTATCAATTCAAAACTCATTGGTTATAAGACCTTCTAACAATTCTTTTCCCAAGCTACACAGACCTGTTTATACGCATGAGCCTATAAAGGAAAGTTGCCATTACCTGTATCAGGAGAGGCGCCATCCCTAGATCCAGCTAGGATCACCTAAAGCCCGGCTTGCACTGCCCAGCTTGTAGCAGGCACAAGAGAAGCATGGAGGAAATGTGATACAGCCCAGCCTGAGTAAGGAAGGGTGTTCACGGGGTTCCGTTGCAGATCCAGGGACAGTCGCTTAGAACACATTGCTCTTTCAGATCGACTTTAATACCCCAGTCTGTAATGATGTTTTTAGCCTGCAGCAGCGGCGGGGTGGATAACAACGGAGACGACGATGGATACAGACACGCTCCACCTCTCAGACCAGAGGTTCCAACGCACATCCACCACACTGAGTGTTAGTGACAGCTCCCTAAGGAATCTCCTTGACTTATATGCTAACTGAAAACATAAAATACACTTAAAATAAACCAAGAAATTCTGGAAAACAAAATTTAAGGCCTTTGTAAGACATAGGACACAGAGAGGCTTTAATTTGTACAAAATAGAGACTATGGGTAATGCACTTAGTTAAGTAAATGTAGGGTACAATCAATTACCGTTACTGAATGCTTCCTGTTTGTGCCCCCGGCTTTAGGGTAGTTAGAGGCTAGAGTGTGGTTTCCAGTTAACACACAGCAATGCTTACTTTATTGTGCTGTCGGTATGAACATTGGAAATGTAGCCTATCTCCAAACATATCAAAGCTTATATCGTGTAGACGTAAGTATAGAAAGTATTACTTCCAAGAATCAAAATCTGTTCCCAGAACTTTTAGTTTTTATTTTTAGTTATGTGTATGTGTGTGTCTGTGAGAGTGTATGTCACATGTGTGTGGGCCAGAAGAGGGCGCTAAATGCCCCAGAGCTAGAGTTACAGGCAGTTATTCTGAACCACGCAACAAGGGTGCTGGAAACCAAAACCATATGGATTCTGGGAATTGAACCCAGGTCCTCTGCTGGAGCAGTCAGCCCTGTTAAGTGCCATCTCTCTAGTCCCTGTTCCCAGACCTCTGTGAAGGTGTGTCCTGAGACCGGGTGAGCAGCT